GAGAGAGAGAGAGAGAGAAAGACAGAGAGAGAGAGAGAGAGAGAGAAGAAGAAAAAGAAGAAGAAGCCGCAGAAGAAAAGAGACAGACAGTCAGACAGAGACAGAGAGAGAGGGAGACAGAGAGAGGGCAAACATAAAAACTGTTAATTATGGAAAGATATTCAAGCGAGAGGAAGGCGATATGAGACCACAGAAGAAAAGAGAGCGCAGATAACAAAACAAAGGAAAATGTTAACAAAACAACCAGCATTGTTAGCTGTTGGAACTGAACAGACGAAATTCTTTTCAATTTCCGCAATATGAGAACAGAAACCATTATTGCCCCCGCACTCTAGAGATGTTTCGTTGAAAGCAGGATTAGGAGATAGAGAATGTTGATTCTTTGGTTTAGCGGGACAGGGGTTGAGCCTATTGAAAGAACGTGCCTGCGCGAAAAGGCTCGCTCAACCTAACACAGCGTGATTTTTTTCAGGTTTAGTTACAATTGTAAAGCACATTGAGCACTTTTCAAGTGGAAATGCGCGATATAAATTATGTAAATTAAGTTTATTTATGTTTTCAAATAAGAAATTAGCAATGTGCATTGATTTCTTTTCAGTTTCATTTTTGTCATCAGAATGACAGATATTGCCATTGTCATCATTATTGTTGGCGCCATTTTGTTTTTGTTATGGCTTCTCTTGTAGTAGTTTTCTTCTTATTTGTTGTTGTAGTATGTTGATGTTGTTGTTGTTGTTGTTGTTGTTGTTGAATTTGTTGATGTTGATGTATTTGTTGTTGTTGTTGTTGTTTTGGTTGTTGTTGTTGTTGTTGTTGTTGTTGTTGTTGTTCTCCTTCTTCTACTTCCTCTTTTTCTTCTTCTTACATACTTGTAATGATACACTGGATCAAAAGAGTTCATCATGAAGACTTAACACATAACTTAGTTTATGAAATAAAAACCAAGGAAACGATAATCAGACATCAGAAACAAAAAGTAAATACATTTTAATTTCGTCTTGGAACAAACATCTCTAATCTCCATGTGTCTTTCCGCCATTAGCGAGTTGTACCCCCTTCTAGAACCTCAATGGACCATTGCTAAATCAAGATTCCCATCGAACCTGCGTGGGTTTTGGCTCTTGTATTCTACACAGATTAGATTTCTGGCAGCTTCGTCTGTCCTTTATCAATTGTTATTGTTATGTCCGTTCTTTGTGCCACGTCCCCATCATCTCTTCAATTATTTCTCTCTGTCTCCGTCTCTGTATCTTATCTGTCAGTAGTCTCTCCCTTTCTCTCTGCCTTTGTATGTATTTATGTCTGTCTGTCCACCTACCTGAGGAACTGTCAACAGTACATCTTTCTTCCTTTCTTCCTTCCTTCCTTTCTTCCTTCCTTCCTTCCTTTCTTTCTTTCTTTCTTTCTTTCTTTCTTTCTTTCTTTCTTTCTTTCTTTCTTTCTTTCTTTCTTTCTTAATGTGTATCTCTCCCTTTTCTACAATTCATTTCCTGCTCTGTCTCGCTAATAAACAGAAATGTGCGCGGCACACACACACACACACACACACACACACACACACACACACACACACACACACACACACACACACACACACACACACATACACACAAACACTAACATAATTATACACAATAACACGAGCGCTTACACAGATGTACCTACATGCATACAGATACAGAGACACATAGATAGATGCATAGATCCATAAAAACATAGACACGTGTACAAATGCAAAGATACATATCAAGGGACGAACAAAATTGAATCCAGACCCACAGACTGACAGACAGACAGACAGACAGACAGACAGACGGACAGACAGACAGACAGACAGACAGACAGACAGACAGACAGACAGACAGACAGACAGGCAGACAGAGCGATGGCATACTGATAGACGAAAAGACAATGCAACTCTACTTGAGCGCTTGACTCCATACAATAATTAGAATAGGAAGGAAACCTTATTGATTTACTGCCATCTTTTGTCTCCCTTGACGGACTCTTGATTTATTGGTCGCCATTAGAACATGACAGCGCCCTGCGCTTCCGATACACTTAATAAGAACTCTTCTGGAATTTCAGTTAAACCCGTTTTACAGCAATTTTTGTCTTTAAAATGGATGCAAAACCACTCTTCCTTGAAGGATTGTCCATCTTCGATAGATCAAGGAGAAGTATTTTTTACTCAAGGAACAAGAAGCCAGACTTTAACTCTCCTAAAAAAAACCAGGAACTTGAGCTATGCCTTGGGCTAAAACTAGATTCGACCGCAAGGTAATCTGCCGTCTTTTTCAGTCCAAGTGCTAAAAAAAAGTTCTTCCAAGATTGGATCCTCAGGCGTGCGTGGGGCTACGATACTTGCCCTCTACCTATATCGTACATCCGCCTCCACCCCCACCACACACTAGCACAATATTGCTCTAATCTGTCATTAGTTTACAGTTTTGCGTCGGCACAGGACCTTAAAAAAGTAGTTTACTATGACGTAGTTTAGAATTAATTGTAGCTGACTGTCTTGCGTAGGCTAGTGCTTATCAACCTTTTTATAGGAAACGCCCACTTTTGCCTCCTGCAAGAGGCTAAAATGTTCGTACCGCACACAAACATGTTTTTTTTCCAAGCGCGGCGAAAAATAACATTTGCCTGTCACTACCTCGGTGGTCCCACCGCCCACCAAAATTACTAAATTAGCTTCTTGTGGGCGATATTGCACAGACTGGCAAACACTGGCGTAGGCTGTGCGAGGAGACAGACATCACGCAAGTGCATCGAAGACCGGGGGCAAGATAGCAAGATAGTCAGCTATTTTTACTCACTGGCGTTACTTGTATTGTTTTCAACTATTATATTACACTGGGCTTTAGAATTCACATGGCTATAAAACTCTTAGGTAAAAGCAAACACATAGATAAATAATATGCCTTCACATACATTGCGTTCATTTCACCATTTCTCCCCCATGCTGACCAGCCATCCTCTACTCACTTGCCATCTTTCTCATCCCCCCCACCCCAAAAAACCCCCCGCCCGCTGACGTCTCGGAGCCGGCGATAACTGGACGGAACGCCTCGGCAGTCGTGTCACAACGCGGAGGAATCAGGCGCTCGTCAGTTTTTGAGAAAGTGGCGTTATTGGCATCATCTTAAAACTGGTTTATTTGTCTTCCTTTCTATGAAAAAATTACCCATTTATCTTTAGTACTAGTCAAGATGTTTGCGATTGAAGGAGGGGGAGGTCATCTGGTGTCAGAGGTAAAATTTGTTTTTAAAATGGCCGCCAAAGTTAGGTGACTTCCGAAGCTAGAGTTCTTGGAAACTACTACTTTTTACATTTGTGTGTGTGCCTTTAATCAATGTTTTTCAGTAAAATCCACACAGCAAGGTGTTTCAAAATGGACATAAAAGGTGTTGAGTCAAAAAATAAAAATTCGATAAAAATTGCCTAACAGGA